AATTCATCAGGAAACATTTACCACCTTCTAAGACAGACAAAACATTTACCACTGATGTCGCCCACCTTCTAAGACAGACAAAGGAGCCTATTAGAGAATGGCAAGGTGATTGATATTTCCTCTTGGAAGAACTGGGTTAAAAAACACAAGCAAACCAACTCTACATCTCTCTAAAGGTCGTCTCTACCGTCAGTCACAGGGTCAAGTCAATTCAGCCAGAAACTGTTTCTTCAAAAAGAAAAAACTTCCAGCCTATGAATTACATGGAAATTGGAACAACGGGCATTACTTTTCTATCACTTGATGTATGACAAATATATACATATATATAGCGTGTACGATTGACTATCTATTCATGGAACGATCTCTCAGTCATTACAAAAGTGTTTTCAGTAAGTATCGAGAATGATGCTACTTTATGCATTTCCAAATTTTAGAAAAACTAGACAGAAGTACAAACACCAAAACTATCTGTTGTGCATAGGTCTAGTCTATGGTAATTTTTCTGACAAATGATAGTAAAATGCCACTACTTTTCGAAAAAAACCAACATTCAGTAATTTCTAAATTTAGAGGAAGTCGAATAATCATGGCACATTATTCCACACTGAAATTTGTGAGTGAAAGAGATTTCAACGTTGAAAGTCATTACCGCACCTTTTGGACAAAGTCACATCATTTGAACATCACATTAACAACACTGTTTGAACATCACATTAACAACACTGTTTGAACATCACATTAACAACACTGTTTGAACATCACATTAACAACACATATTTTATGTCAGTGGGGTAAGTGGTTGGGGCATACAAAACGTATCAATGCCTGATTTAACATACCAACATGAACCTAATTTGGAGCTCTTCGCATTTATCAATTCACTAATACAGTTATTGCTTTAAAAATCTTTACCTAAACCTAACCACCAAAAGTAAGACTGCTTAAACCAATGATATGACCCCTCAAAACAAAGCCGCTTTCTCAGCCAAGCATACTGAAAAAAAAAAGAGCAAAGAACCCTTACACCATCATATTAAAAACTTATAAACAACCCATGGTGAGGTACTTCAATGTCTGAAATAATCAAAAATACAAAGCTGAACAAGGGGTTACCATTTTTAAAAACTACCCCCGTCCCCCCTAAAAAAAATCTAAATAATCAACTTTCAAGTGAACAGGGTACATGAACAACTCGCAGTGCAAAGTCACCTATGGCACACAATGCTGGTAATGTTTATACAAAAATATCCACCATAGATGAAATCCACAATACAGAAGACCATACTGAGAACATTTTTTTTTTTAAAACATCATCTCATCATATACATTTGCAGAACAGGGGTCATTACTGACTCAACTAGCACCTGTCAGACCAAACAATTTCACAGATATGATTTAAAACATTAGAGAAATTGCTCTGGAACATTTGTGGACAACTGAACAAAAAGCTTTCATTACAACAAAATCCCCACCAAATCACACAGGCTCACACACTCTGACTTTAAAGCCAGCAAATGCTCAAACCAACAATATGTCGACCTAAAAGTCTATATTTCTCACTACCTAACCTACATTCTATTTCAGCTCTTAGACCTTCAGGGAAATGAAAAACTATTGAATTCAAAGTGGCCTCAGATGTAATCATAATATTAATGAAACTGCAAAATGAGTTGAATTCAAAAGCCCCCCCCCCCCTTAAAAAAGGTGTGTGTGTGTGTGTGTGAGGAACAATCCACTGTATGATACTGGTACTCACATTTCAGCTTAAAACTAAACACATCATAAAATCAAGGTGCCGTTTTTATCAAAATTCCTACAAAATCCACCTTTTCTACATTCTAAATATTGATCTAACCACTTAATGCACTAAATCTAAAAAAGCAAAATATATTTTTTAAATGGTTTTCCTTTGTGAAATCTACATGTATGACTACCATCTGTCACTCAAATATTTTCTTACTCATCACCAATATGAGGGAGGGGAAAAAAATGATTCTGTACAAGACATGGTACAATATATCATTGGACATTGAGATATGTGATGATATATCACAGCACCCACCCCGAGAAAGAACAACAGGCTTGCTGAAAAACTGATCGCTGGAGGATAAAAAGAAGTGGAAAAAGAACTGTCTGTGACACACGATACGGGAATATATCAGGTTCTCCTTTCTCCCAAAAAAGCTATCTTTCTGAAAATACGACAGTTTGCCTCACGTCCATTGAGTGGGAATATATCGGGTTCCTGTTTCTCCCCAAAAAGCTATCATATTTCTGAAAATGTGACAGTTTGCTTCACTACCTTTGATTCAACATTTACTTGTACAAGAACCAACCTTCAATATGAAAACTCTGTCCTTGCCAATAATTGAGGCAGCAAGTTCCGTTTCAGTGGTATATTGATATGAAGACAACACACGCCAAAATAAAACGTGTACTTCCCACTCTTTTAAATATTTTTTATTCAGTGGCCTATTCCACAAATCTTATGAAGCTTTATCTGAACATTTTGCATGTAATGATGGTAAAAATCACACAGAAGCTATCCTAAAGTTATACAGAAACAGAAACGAGCTCAGAAGAAAAAGAAAGGACCTGTCACACCCAAAGAACATATGTGTTCTATGTCTTTAAGTTGGATCCTGCGATTCCTAGACTTGCTCTTTCATATAAACAGTGTTCAAGTTTTTCCCAATTTTGGAAGTAACATTGTCAAAAACAAACTTGGCACAACCAGATACGTTTACAATGACCTCGCTATAGACACTTGCAATTCATTCATCTACGAGACCATAACTTGGCATAGTAAAGCGCTACTGGCCAATGCCATGTGACAGGATGAAGAAGAGCCATTAAGAGGGAGGCTATTTGAAAACTTTAAATTATGACATTTCCACTCTAGTCTCTCCAGAGTTTGACTCAATGTTCTCATCCAATTAACCCCCCCGAAAAATAACCAAAACAACCAACAAAACCAAACAAACTGGCCAAGTCTCTACGGCTATACAGAGGTGCAACTACTTCATGTAAAGCACCACACGGATCTATACAGATATGATATGTTACTAAACCATGTACCAATTTTCTCACAACATTGACTCATTCAGAATTGTCCGCCTGAGACAGTGAAAAGTTCAGTCATTGAATGTCTTTCTCTTGCATGGCACTGATTAAAATCACATTTCAATTAGTGACAAAACTGACGCTAAAATTGACAACAACATTACGACTATGAAACATGTATATGAAAGGAAATCTTTAATTTAGAAAAAAAAAAGACAAGACACTGAACCCCAAAACTTTGTAGTATTACCACATGTAGAACAGGCTTTTATTCTGCTGGTCAAAACTGAACGGTTGAGGGCGGGTGGAAAGTGTGATTTGCCAAAGTACACTTTACCAAAGAGAAATCACCACCAATCAGAATTGACCTAAACATAACATGCTTCTCCGAGTATTCAACACAGAACACCTCATGTACCAATAAACAGCAGCTTCTGTGACAGTAGAAGGCATGTACAGTACAACCTATCCAACACCTCTACTTCCTATCAGCAATAGTACAGCTTTTACACCTCAAAATGATACAATTTCTACTATCTAGAAGGCAGGCTGCTTTGACTGTCTGTCAGGGCCAACCCAGGTTAAACATGGAGTAGCATTCAGATATACAGACCGACAGTTCAGTTCAAGAAACCCTTATAGCGTACCACATTTCTCTAAAATCAATTTTTTTGCTTTCCCCTGGACGCATATATATTTCTCCATCACATATCTCTCCTATGCCCGGATTGGACTGTAAATAAAAGATCTGCAGCCACAAAAAGCTAAAAAAAAAGTTGATTTTTTGAAAAATCTGGAATAGGGGTTTCTTGAACTGAACCGTCGAGGTGGACATACTCGATTAAAAACATGTCCACTTAGGAAGCAAACGCATCTTCTGTGTGCAATGGTGAAGAGCATAACTGCTACACCACAGACACCAGTTTTCTTTCTTGGTTCGACCAAAGAGTCTACATAACAAGAGGGTCCACTCCTCTCTTCGAGCCAATTAAAAAAGTATCCTTAAAATTCGGTGGTGCCCTCTTCGCAAATGCGCACCCTTTGCGAACAGAGTTACCCTACTTGTTTAAAAAAAAAAATCAAAGTGAAACAAGTTTTTGAATAAATAAGAATTCAAATTTCGGAAGAAAGCTTTTTTAAAATGGTTACGCTGACAAAAAACCTCTTCCAGAGGAAGGGGAGACTGTTTTCTTCGTTTAATTTGACTTTAGAATGAAAGGCGAGAGGTCATTAAAATAAAAAAACCTAAAACTCCGCACTGAACGAACCCGAACAGCTGATGAACAGCAGTCGATCTGCTCACGCAAGGAGGTGCTATTCCTATTCTCTTCTGGAGAAATGAAAGAGAGCTTCAAAACAGACAGCAGCACCATCTGAAGCAAAGAGCGAACTTCCGGCGGACACTTTTTTGGCTAAGTGGACCATCTTGTTATACATATGTACTATCTTTGGTTCGACTGATGGCACAGTTCACGAGCCCCACAAGTCCCCTCTATAGATACTATTATTATCATTACCATTACATTAAAGGCAATATTAAACAACCCTTACCATGACCCTGTGAGATTGAATTGCTGGGGGCTGAACCCGCGTCAACTCGAAAAGGTTTGATCAGAATGGCCATCAATATTAGAGATTCTACAAAATTTCTAGGGTATCGAATAAGTGTCAGAGTTACTTCAAATATTACCAAGTACCAGTACTTAACACATCACACCCTCACTCGCCCAGGGTCGCCTCTGAGTTTCTTCACACGCTCCACCCCAACGAGCCCATAATCACCTGATTCAGATTAATCAGATGTAGAATCTAGATCTAGAGATCCACTGCATGGCAGAGAGAGAGTGATGGGTTGGACACCACGATTGAAGTAAAGCTAGAACAGTTCTAAGAACATGTACACATAAAGTTATATTTTTTGGAAACTACATTCATTTTTTTTTCTTATTTAATTTTTTCAGAATTTTGGGTATTTGTTTAGCATTTTAAAAAAAATGTTTATTAAAAACAACTTTCTAATCACTGGAGGTGAGTCCCCCCACCTTAGAATTGAGAATAGGCTTCCCGTCCAGACCCTCAGGATGTAATGTGTTAAGTTAGAAACCTACACTAGCAGCATGTCATGATTTTCTTCAAAAATAAAAAATTTAAAAATACTTCTCAAAGAAAAGCGTTCCGATTCGTCAACGATGCAGGTTCCATTTTCTCTTTGACACAGTCTGTGACTCTCCTAGTGTACAGTTAAAACACTGTCATAACAAGGAAATAAAAAGCATGTATACCTCCCCAAAAGAAAATAATTAAAAAAAAAAAATAAAAAAAAATCCAACTTCATTCCATTCGTGACCATTTCATTAAAAAATGCATACCCCCCCCCCTGCCCCCATAAAAATCCAAGCACAAGCACATCACTATAGCTTCGATCCATGGAAGAAATTTTCATTGTCTGTGACCACACAAATATTCACTGCCTCTCTCACTATCAGGGAGGGGGGGTTGATGTGAGGCAAAACATCTATTTTACAGTATTTTCATTAAATAATGCCACCACATTCACATCCACAGGCATTTTCCTCACCCACACAAACAAGCAAACACACCGTTCGGCACATCATAAAAATGTGGCGGCCGCCTCTGCATATTCCGTACCCAGCAGCCCTCGGCAAAGCAGCGTAAACTCTTTCACCACATCTCTCGTCTTCCGCTTGTTCATGCGATCCCTGTGGGAGGTAATAGTCGCACTTTCAGAAACAAAAGCAGAAACATAGCACTGATGAAACGACTGAAAACAGTCAGAGACGTTTTAACAGCCACCCGTCAAAGGCAATCACTTGTACAGATGGCTGTTCTGTTATCACAAGAAAGAACATAAAAAATTACTTCCCGGTTCACCAATTCGTTTCACCTGGGCGCCATCTTGTTTATTTTACAGGAATTCCTTCCTCATTGGTAAGCTTAGCTAAGATAAAGATAAATCATTAACAGTGGTGATATTTCTCTTGTTGCGTCTCTGTTCACATGTCTCGTCTGTCACTGCGTCTTTTAGTTTTAGTATGAGTTTAACAGCACTTGCAACACAATAAGGTCATATAAGTGCCCAAGATTAGAAGAGTTACAAGAGAGTAACAAATACAAAAGAGGAGGGATAAGAACCATAGATGTTTGATAGGAAAGAAGGAGCAAACCACCGCATTCACTGTGTTTGTGAGCATGGCTCAGTGAGTCCATGTAGCTGTGCTGTGTCCAGTGTCCGTTCACCTGTGTATTATCGTCAGTCTTTGTCTATCACTCCAACGAGTAGTGCGTTTTTTTGTTTAACCCTATCCGTACGTCGTGATTTACTATCGTATCCATACGACGTGGGGAACTCTGTGCCACCACTTTCCAAAAAGGAAATTTACTCGTTAATCCGATCTGCACACTTTGCATGGCAGTCTGTCAAAATAATTTTTTGAGAAATACTGAAAGTTTCAAAGAGATCTTCGTACAAGAAGCATTCTAAAATGTCAAGAATACAACTCCGGGGGTACAAAATGACCCCAAGGTGTACAGGTATGGCTTTTCCATCTTGCTCTATAACACTGACATTGACTTGTAGCCTTGTTTTCATTTCTAAGGAGAAAAGTTGTGTCAAAGCTGGTGTACAAAGCCTGAATTTACCTTTCCTTTATGTCTGTTTTGGTAAGAGTTTTACGGCACTTGCAATATAATAAGGTCATATAGGTCATATATAAGAGATGAAAATTAAGAGATGTTACAAGAGAGTAACAACCCCCCCAAAATAGGAGGAGAGATCAGGACGATAGATATTTGATAGGAAAGAAGGAGCAAACCACACCAGGGCATCCACCAACCACCCACTACATTTACTGTCACAAAGTGCAAAATAATATGAACACATGAAGGGCCATTAGAATCAAGACAGCAACGGATCCAAGACTACGGGATGAACAGGCTGGTTTCTGGAAAAACCGCTAAACCACCAACCAGATTGCCAAGCTGAGGATTATTGTGGAACAGTCCCTGGAGTGGAACTCCAAGCTGGTTGTCAACTTCCTTGACTATGAGAAGGCCTTTGACAGTAAAGACCGAACAACACTATGGAAGATAATGAGACACCACGGAATCCCACAGAAGTTGGTGAACCTCATCAAGAACATGTACGAAGGGACAAGTTGCAGGGTTATACATGATGGCCAGTTCACTGACAGCTTTGACATCAAGACTGGTGTGAGACAGCGATGCTTACTATCACCCTTCCTCTTCATATTGGCAATCCACTGGCTGATGAGGGAAACCACCAGAGGACACAAAAATGGTATACAGTGGACACCATGGACACAGTTGGACAATCTGGATTTTGCAGACGACTTGGTGCTTCTGTCGCACACCCAGGAACAGATGCAAGCAAAGACTTCAGTATTAAACAGCCTATCAGAGTCTGTTGGATTGAGGATCCACCCTGGAAAGCCAAAGGTCCTAAGGACAGATGCACAACAAAAGGAGCAGGTCTCAATAGAAGGAAAGGCACTAGAAAACGTAGAATCCTTCTGCTATCTTGGGAGTATAATTGACAGAGAGGGAGGAACAGGCGCTGAAATAAAGTCCCATATTGGAAAAGCACAGGCTGCTTTCATATCTTTAGATAGGATTTGGAAGACCAGAGATACCTCACTTCAAACAAAGCTGAGGATTTTCAATTCAAATGTGAAGTCGGTCCTGTTGTATGGATGTGAGACATGGAACGCAAAACAACCCCTCACCAACCCAAGATCTTCCTTCCTACCTCAACAAATTCTTTATAAACTGTTCTTTATCCTGCCGAGAGGCGCGCGGAGAAGGATACCCCTCGTTTTCCAGGATCGTCTTGAGCCAGACGGAAAGCTGCGCCACGTAGTTCTTGTTCAAGGCCATGATCACATCAGCCACAAAGTCCACAATACCCCGCTGAGATTCTCCGCCAATCGCCTGCACAAGGAAACAAAACATTTTGGCATGAATGACTAGTGACACGGTAAAAATAACTGTAAAAACAGTAAAGAACAAATCAGTATGAAAGACTTGTAAAATAATAAAAAAGAAATTGACATGAATGACCACCAAAACGGTAGAGAAGAAAATGGCATGAATGATTAATAAACCAGAAAAGAAGATTTCGGCATGAATGACTAGTAATATGATAAAGAAGAAATTGGTATAAATGACAAATGAAACAGTAAAAGGGAAATTAGATTACTAGTAAAGCAGTAAATAAATTTATATGAATGATTGGTAAAAAACATTAAAGAACGAATTTAGATGAATGACTGGGTAAAGAAGAAATTGGTAAAAATGAATTTAATTGGTATAAAGGACTAGTAAAAACAGTGAAGAAGAGACCAATATAAATGCCTACTAAAAAATTGTTTTAAAAGACAAGCAATATTTGTTGCCTCTTCAAATTTGAACTTTAAAATTCTGCAAAGCTATTGAAGTTCATAACACCAGCCAGCAACATTAATAATATGTGAGGGGAGCTGACAAATAGAGTTACTTTTTGCAATTCGAAAATTAAGATATCGGCCAAAAATCAACACAGGACTCCAATATGTAGATTTTGAACTTATGCCTATTCTTCAAGTTTAACTCACTTCAGACGGGTCACACAACAGTTGCGTGACCTCCGCTGCGACGGGTCACACGAGCCCTGCGTGACCAACTTTGGAATTTTTTTTCCGCTCTACAAATCACGCACGGATCGCGAGACCTGCCTCGTACCCTTGTTTGGCCAAGCCTGAGCTACTTAGACTTCGTTTCGTATCTCTGGGGCCGGTAGTTTTTAAGTTATTGAATGGGGTTGAACAGACCGGAACTTGCGCTTTGTTTTTTTCTATACAGCTCATAGTAATCCGACAGTCGCGTCGTAGTAACGGTCGAAGAAGTCGCATGAACCAGAATCACATAATTTCGCCGTTTTTTATACTTCTGTACGTTTTACTAGTTTTAGTGTCTCAGAATATGATGTGTCTAATAGTTAGGATCCTGGATATGTACCCGAACACGGCCCGAGTCGTAGTTTTAGGGCTAGATCTAGCACTAGTACCGGTGTTGTTTTTCGCGCAACGAAATCACAACGCCGTGCCGTACATCTGTCTATGTATTTTCAGTGTATGGGTCTGAATCAATGCACAGACCAGCTTTTATATATTCACCAAACACTTGCACATGTATACAAATCAAACCAGAACACTTTGAACTTTTATTTTTGTTGTTGTAGTGAATTTCATTCCACTTGTCACGTCTCTGGAAATTTTTTGGAAAATCAAATTCATGCCAATTTTTAAAAAATCATACAAATTAAAGTATTAAACTTAGACAACTTTGGTTTTTTGTATTAGATTAAGCTTGAATGTTACTTTACTGTGTCACAAAATAATTACAATAGTGTAATTCTGAGAGTTGTGGTGATTTATTGAAATACCCCCAAAAACGCCAGTCTTCAACGCTTGTGACTGGTGAAAGGGCCCAGTCGCAAGTGAGTTAACATGTTTTTCATCATTTCATACTTATAAAAGTATTAAGGTAGCCTACAGATTCGACGTATCTATGTCCATCGGGGTAAAATCCGAGAAGTAACGCCTCACAATAAGACAAAATCCACTCACCCTCATTATTCTGTCGACCAACAAATGTCCACGGCTTGTGACAATAGACTTGATCACTTCATTCTCCGGCCCAGCATTCAAGAACTCAATCTGAGATAATAATTAAAGAAAGAAAACCCCCCACATGTCATCAGTCACTGTTACAAAGTTATTAGTAACCATTTTACATCCCTATCAACACAAATTAGGTCATTCGGTAGGTCGGCCATAACAACTGGCAGAGTCAGCTACATCCCAACAGACAGACAGAAATTTGACCAAATAAAACAAAAAAATCTCCCCCCCCCCCCCCCCCCCCACACAAATCTTTCCAAATTATAAGAAACACTAATAAAATATGACAAAAGTGCGCACATACCATAAAGCTGCAGGACGCTTTCACAGTAGCTTGTTCTGGTAATGCCATACTTAACACAGCTGGAAGAAAAAATAAAACAAAAATAGGGAAACATCAGTAAAAGACCTTGGAAATACTGTCGGTGGAACCTGCTATAATGGTCACCTGTCCAAGACAATCAACTATATAAGCGGCCAACCTCCCCCCTCTGCATTTTTTTTTCTCAATAATAATGACACTGTCCTGGATATTCACCTGTCTAAGACAACCATTTCTTTTTTCGACAACGGGTGACCATTTAAGACAATTTTATTTGTATTTGCTACAGAAACTTGTTAAGAGGATTGGTATTAAACATTTTTTGGGGGCAGGTGTTTTATTACAGCGCTCAGAACTGCACAAGGTCATATATGAGTGTGTGGGACACAGTAAACATTTTCAGCTCGTAGGAAATTTTGAATTTTGCCTGGGTGGTGGCCGAAGCCTATTCTTATCAATCATGGACCACCAAGGGATCTTTAACGTGCGCAACTTGCACACGGGACCTCCGAGACTTTTCGGCTTTGTCCGAGAAGGTTCGGTGTAGATCTTTCTACCATAACATCAGGGGTATGACTGAAAGACAGCAGTAAGAAGGAACCAAACAGAAGCAGCAAAAAGGCAGGAGGTGAGGGTGGTAGTAGAAAGTGGAGACGAAAGCAGACGACAGAACATTGCTTGAGAGCAGGAAAGGAGGTGAAAGGAGACAATTCTTGAGAGGAAAATTTTCCGTCGCTATTCAGAGGCCACGAGAGCCCCCAATTCAAGGATTGAAAAACATAGCGCAGTCTTAAAAATAAAACCGGCCAGTACTCACACAACATCACAATACCTATCAACAGTACCAGTCAGTATTCACTAATCATCACCACTCACCTGCATGGAAAATAGCAGTAAGATCACAGTTGCAGTTCATGATAATCTTTTTGAACTTTTTCATCACCTGCAAGGCAAAGCAAAGAGAAAACCCACAATGAACAGAATCATAATGAGATACTTTCAAAGTTTACCAACCAAGACCTTATTTTGAAGTACAAACTAAGTACACTAACAGAAACTACTTCTAAGATTTGAAAAATAAAATAACTCAATCACATTATTGTCAGCACACAACACAATTAACTTCCATTTAAAAAAAAGAAGTATATAAATAGGCCTCCCTGCAAACTTCTAAATACAAAAAAATTGAACTAGTACATTTACACAAGAATAGGACATCGTATATCTATTTGTCCTAACATTCAGTCACTCTACTACATCTTACCTGGGCTAGAAAGCACATGAATCCCTCTATCACATCAGTGTAGTTTCGAATTCCTAGGAAAAAAACCCCAACCGTGTCACATTCTTTAACACAAAAGCAAATCACACAAATCAATGAAAAATAGGGTTACTTGCAAAGGTCAGAATATAAACAAAACAGAACATCATTCGTAATTTTGAGAAATCAATAACCAAAGTTACTGAATGGTCCAACCAACTTCATAGTTGTGCCAACATGGATGCCAAACTCAGTCAATGGCATTGAATGGGACTTGTTTTAGTTTTAGTAAGCATATCACGGCACTTGCAATACCAGGTCATATAAGTGCTGAAGATTAGAGGTGTTACAAAAGAATAGCAAACACAAAAAAGAAGGAGGAGACATCAGGATGGAAGATGTTTGATAGGAAAGAAGGAGCAGACTACACCAAAGCACCTGCCAACCACCCACGCACTTGTCTATTCGATTAAAGAGAAGCACACCAGCACAGTATTGATCTGGTAGAGGGTGGAAAAAGTAAGACAGACAGACAGGAGCAACAGAAGTATACGTAGGTTTTACCAGTGACACCCTCCAACAACCCTCCTTTCAGTACATAACATAACTATCACGAGAGCCTCATAAGTAAAATATTACAGGGAACAAAGTGCATTTGCTTTGTTTTTTTCTGTAAAGCATCATACCATATTGGTCAGAGAACATAATAATAATAGATTGCATTTATATAGCCCTCTATCCCATACGAATATAAGCTCTGAGCGCTTTACATCAATCACATGGTCACTGAAAATTAATAATTCATTCACACAGGATAAAATACTTCACAGTAACAAGAAAAATAACCAAAATTTGACACTGCTATACATAAACACAAGCATCACTTTGTACGTACCCGTAGTAAACATTTGCAGGGACCGTACACACACATTCTCTATTATGGCTTTAGAGAATGGAATGAAATTTTCTTGAAGCCCAAACATTAAGAGCATCTGAAAATCATTGAAATACAAAATATCGACTCAATAAGTATGCTTGCAAATACTTTTTGCTTTGATTTTTTAATTTAAAAAAATAATTCAGAAGATGTTTTACGGCACTCGCAACTGTATATGGTCATATGAGCGCCAAGGGGTGGATGTCAACAGAGAAGTCTTTACAGGGAATCAGGCTTACTCTGCTCACCTCTCTAGCTTCAACAGCACAAAGTCTGTTTCGACTTTCAAGGCACCCCGGAAATAGCGGGTCACAAGAGTGTGACAAACATACAAAAGAAGTAGAGAAAAAAATGACAAAAGTAAGGATTAGGAAAGAAAAAGCAGCAGTCCCCTGTTGTAGATGAAGCACAGTTATGAGCGTGACATTGCTGAATCAGCCCATTTACAATTCTACTGTGCATGAACGAGAAATGTCCCCCCTTTGGGAATGGCCTAAAGACACCAGTCAGTGGCACCGCCTTTTAAAAAAGGAGAATGCCAAATAACCAAAGAATTTTTATCTTTAAATGAGTGCGCACACGAGTATATATATATACAGGAAAATCAAAGCACATAATAAAGTTTGTTTTAAGTTTTGTAAGCGTTTTACAGCACTTGCAACACAAAATAAGTCATTTAGGTGCCGAAGGTTAGATATGTTACTTAAGAGTATCATACAAACAAAAAGAGAGATAAGAACCACAGAGGTTTGATAGGAAAAAAGGAGCAACTGCCAACCACACACTCTCTATACTTTTCCAATTTAGCGGCCACCTGAGTTCTAGCCCTTCAGCCCGTTTGCTTCACTTTACTTTTCCCATCCAGATACACGCGCTATAAAAACCAGTCTTTCCCAACGGCAAAAAAAAAAGGGGAGGAGGAACTACTCACTTGTTTGCATAGATCAATGATGGCGGTGCTGGGGCATCTTTGGTACAGGTTTATGACTAGTTGGGTCAGGTCGGTGGACAGAGGGGCAAAGCCATTGTCCAGTTTCTGCAAGGCTTTCTTGTACAAATCACACACAGCCTGGGGACCAGATAGACCATCTTTACTTCCCCGGATAAAAGACTCTTAGAGACAATATAAGTTCAGCAAGATTACTTCCCAAAATAAAATTTAAAAGTTTCTATTTTGGAGACAATTATATATTTTCTGCATTGTATCTTTTCCCCCAATAATAAAAATGTATATTTTAGAGGCAATGATACATTTTCTGCATCTTTACTTCCCCAGATAAAAAGAATTTTAATCTTAGAGACAATTATATATTTTCTGCACGTTTTCTTCACAAGATAAAAGAATTTCTTTCTTAGAGGAAATGATATATTTTCTGCATTTTTACTTCCCCCAGATAAAAGAATTTTAGTCTTAGAGACAATTATATATTTTCTGCATGTTTACTTCTCCAGGTAAAAAAAGAATTTAAATCTTAGTGACTATAATATAAGTTTTGCAATTTTACTGCACAAGACAAGGAATTTCTAACTTTGAAAAAATAATATATGTTCTGTATTTTTTCTACATCAATATACAGGAATTGTTATTTTTCAAAAGATAACACATGGTTTAAGTCTTTTCTTTCTTTCTGCATAAGATAAAGGAATTTATATTTTAGATAAGGAATACAAATTATATATTTTATCCAACAAACGAAAAATATTCTGGTTGAAATTATAAAATTTATCTCATGAATTTATTTCACATTACACCCCAACTCGCCCGCGAATTTCCTTACGCGCTCCGCCCTAACTCGCTTGTGTCGAACTAGCGTCTTTAGAAAAGAAGTATCGCCTTGTCTGGGCTGAGATTTTGATTTGCATAGTTATTGCAAAAAGTTTCTTCTTTCTTCTTTCGTTTTATACTGAAACGAAATTTTTCGGACCAGCAGTTTGAGTAATAAGAGCCGGTCGAAGTGCAATTGCGTTACCGACACTTTGAAGATGTCTTGACTTGTTGAAAAGCGACACAATTGAGTTCGAAAGAGGAAATAACGATTGATTTGAGCAAAAACAAAAATATGACAAATCGGATGACTCAGATTTTGATGAAAACATTGTAGCAAGAGTTCGGGGCCATTCAGATTCATCAGATGTAGAAAATCTAGAATTTACATCTAGGGCCCGACCACGAGGCTAAGAGTGACAGTGACAGGTCGACACCCCGATTGAACTAAAGTTAGAACATTTCCAACAGTCTGCGCATACACAAAGTTATATTTTTCTTAAACTACATTCATTTTTCTTTTAAACTTTTATTTTTTCAGGAATTTTGGAATTTGTTTAGTATTTTTTAAATGCTTGTATTCACGGGAGGTGGGTTCCTTCCCCTTGCTTAGGATCTAACAATGGACTTCCCGTCCAGACCCTTAGGGTGTAATGGGTTAACAATTCAATTTCTAAATAATAACATACATTTTTCATTAGGAAAATTTACCACAATTTGCTCAACTCGAGAGAAATTATGTATTTCCCAACTCTATAGCTTTACATCAATACAGATAAATAATCCTACCTCTAATAACCTTACAGTATTGCCAGGGGTTAAAAGAATACAATTTCCAAAATACACAATCATATACAAGCATGTTAACATTAAATGTCGGCAGATTCTGCGAGAGCGGCCAGAATGATCAATACATTGAATTCATCACTGACAAAACACACACACACACACACACACAATTAAGAGAAACTAGTTTCTCTCCGCACCTCAATAATGCCAGTGTCAAACAGCCAAGCGTAGGCAATTTTCTGAACGGCTGTTGAGATCTTCTGGAGTATCACATATATCTGGGGGGGGAAAAAGAAACCGCGCAAAATGAGTCAATACTTTGAGCAGAATGAAAATGAACTTTGTGCAAGAAAAGCAGTATAAAAACATGCAAAATTAATTTCTTTTGAATATTATATGTAGTCAAACGTATCTAAGATGACCATCCTCAATTAAGGAGAAAAGAAGTCCCCAAACAGAACCATATTTGGAGTGGGGAAAGGTGCTGTTATTGATCCAGGCAAGGAAATGCGAGAACAGACAAGAATAACAGAGGGGAAAAAAAGTAAGTAGTTTTCGTAAACAAGTAAAATATTTTTTACACATAACAGACTCTGAGTCTGTTTCTCTTAACTCACTCAACACTCAACACTAGGCCTACACTTCCGGGTTGTCAGTTAGCCATACTGATTTTTACTTCTTGAAAAACTGGAAACCCCCCCCCCCCCCTAAATTTTAACGTATCCTACCCAAATTACGTACACATTTTATTCAAACCTTTATTTGTGTATATTAATAATATGAAGGCAAAATATGTCACAGTTTTTAAGCAATACTCCATGGAAAAAGGTCTATTTACTGAGTAAAAAAGTAAACAAAAAGCGAAGAAAGGAAGTGCATTCAAATTTCGGATCCTCTCACATGATTCACGAATATAGCTTTCCTTGTTCTAAATTTGGGCTTGCACTTCTGGTCACAGTCTGTTTCAAACGAAAAATGGTTACTTTTCCAATTAGGCTATAGTCTGCTTCACACAAAGGTAGTGTTTTTTGGTCACGAAAGCAACATTTTCCATACCGATACTGTTGACGTTAGGGTTGGAGCGCCGCGTGCGCATATCAATAATATAAGCGTTAGGTCTGGGTGAGTTAAGTTGAATAGTGGGAAACCAGAAAAACATGACAGGAAAGAAGTTATACAGACAGACCGAAGTAACAGAGTGAAAGAAAAAAACATAGGATTACTGGTTGCGCCCTCCAACCACCTGCAGTGTGAGTGTGTGTCTGTGTACGCACGCGTGCGCCTGCATATGTGAAAGGAGGAAGGAGAGGAGGGAGAGGAAGATGGGGCGAGGGAAGGAGAGAGAGAGAGACAGAGAGGAGAGAGATGGGGAGAGAGAGAGAGGGAGAGAGAGAAGGAGAGAGAGAGAGAGAGAGAGAGAGAGAGACAGAGAGACAACACAGAGAGAAAGAGAGAGAGAGAGAGAGAGAGAGAGAGAGAGAGAAAGACAGACACGGAGAGACAGACACAGAGAGAAAGAGAGAGAGAGAGAGAGAGAGAGAGAGAGAGAGAAAGACAGACACGGAGAGACAGAACACAGAGAGAAAGAGAGAGAGAGAGAGAGAGAGAGAGAGAGAGAGAGAGAGAGAGAGAGAGAGAGAGAGAGAGAAAGACAGACACGGAGAGACAGACACAGAGAGAAAGAGAGAGAGAGAGAGAGAGAGAGAGAGAGAGAGAAAGACAGACACGGAGAGACAGACACAGAGAGAAAGAGAGAGAGAGAGAGAGAGAGAGAGAGATAGAGAGAGATAGAGAGAGAGAGAGAATAATAAGAGATGCAGACAGCAAGAGCGAAATAAAGACAAAAAGACGGGGGTTAGTGCAAAGAAAGACAGACAAATAAGAAGGGAGAGAGAAAGAGAGAGAGAGAGAAAAAAAAATCTGTCCTTTTGGATCCCTACTCCTCCCACAATCCCAACAGCCCACTAGTCAGAGCCTCACAGGGTCCGAGTTCTCCTGTTGTTTATGCTGCTGCTGATTCTTCTTCTCCTTCTCTTCCCACTCCAGACCAGTGTCCAATGAGCCAAACAGCCAGGCGAAGATGTTGACCGTTGTGTGGACATCGGCTCGGTTTGTGGGGCATGGCTGAGATGAGAGCATAAAAAACACACAAAAATTAAGAATGAACGATATGTGGCAATGCGTAAACATGTCTTCGTAAAATACAAGAGCCGGTCTTATCCACATCAACAGGGAAGTCCTTAACTTATTTTGTTTTAGGAAGAAAGGCACGTTGAGACAATACCGGTCTTTTGCTTTTAGTAAGAGTTTTACGGCACTTGCAACTCAATTGTGTCATAAATTATGTAAGTGCCGAAGATTAGAGGTATTAAAAGAGTGTTACATACAAAGAAATAAAGGAAATAATTAAATCAGGACGACAGATGTTTAATACACCCGTAAGTAACGGTTAAACAAGGAAAAGGAAAAATAAACAGAGAAACAACAGGGGGAAAGTGAAGAAGTAGGACATGTCAGTGGTGCCCTCCAACCACCCACTTTAAACCATGCAAAAAACACAAATCTACAAACACAAACACCACTAGCTGCAGACTTCATAAAGATTTCTATCAGATAATCCTGGTCCACAGGGACATTTGACAACATTGCTAGATGTAGGATGTGTCGGCATTTGTGCGCATGTGTGTGTGCCAAAAGATGACTCCATTTTATAAAATTTTGAAAACAAGCAAAAATTAAACAAAGCAACAAAAAAACAAAACAACTACTCACAGGCATCTCGGCCAGGGCCTCCAAGTGGCGTATGTGTGGGGAGATCATGGAATCCAGATAGTGCATGATCTCCTCTGTCTGCATGACTGACAAGACATGACCCACACTGGACATCAGCCGCAGCAGGTCGCGGGACTGCAGAGAGAGAGAGAGAGGTCAGTCCATAATGAACAATTATGAAAAGGGACCAAAACAAAACCCCAAAAATAATTAATAAAACAAACCAAAGAACAAAAACCCCAAAGCAATCCCTACAAAGTCAGTACCGCTTTACGACCATGATAAAAAATGGATATTACCACCGTTTTTTTCTTGTAAGCCAGCTGTAACAAATTCACCATAAACTCTCCATTGGCCGATGAATTTCTTTCTCATCCTAACACTTTTTTTTCTTCTTCACAGCAAAGTACATGTTTATTCTTAGATTCACAAGTTAATTCACTCAAAATTCACACCGTAAAGTCATTATACTGCAGTATATATACTATGCCACAGATGCAGGACGGTAAAGAGATCTAAGAAAATAAAACTGCAAAGAGAGGAGACAATTTATTGTCAGCACATATGTAGCATCTGATCTGATTATTCATTAATGTTATGAGTTATAATCTAAGAACATACTATAGAACTCAAGAAATTATAGTCTACACATATCATGGACAAAAAGGAATGTGAAAAGGAGTGCTTGAGTAGAACACACACACAAAAAAGCATAACTTTAAAAAAATGGGTGTATATTTGAGGTTGGCACTTTGAATTCACAATTTCATTCAACCACAAGGTGAGAGTCAGATTCATTAAAGGTGCTTGTACTTACTTTTAGGACGTTTGCCTCGAAAGATTTCTGCAAAATAAGTAAAAAAGAAAACACTGAAAATACCATAATAAGGTACATCAACACTAGCACTGACACAACAGGCACAAGGAACAAAACCAACAGCACAGCAACATTTTATCCTCACAGAAAAAATATTAAATCCTCTAAAGTATCTCTAAAACTAAAATGGCACATACATTCTGTCTTAAAATCAGCACTTTGCTAACAACACTAAAAAAAAACCCCAATCCCACCCAGGACAAAGAAGTTTAAAAAAAAAGGAAAAAAATGCAACAATGAGATGTAAAATTGTTTATCCATTTTTTAAACTCATAAGCGTAATTTAGTTTTAGTAAGAGTTTTACGGCACTTACAACACAATAAGGTCATATAAGTGCCCAAGATTAGAGATGTTACAAGAGAGTAACAAACACAAAACAGAAGGAGGAGATAAAGGACGATAGATGTTTGATAGGAAAAAAGGAGCAATCCACACCAGAGCACCCGCCAACCACCCGCTCATAAGCGTAAAGTAAAAAAAAAGTTGACCCACGGGCCACCCCAGTACCTGACAGGCCACTAATATCTGATGGGCAAATGGCCGGAGGTGGGAGAGATTCTCTCTGGTGATGTCCTTGAGCGCGATGGTGGCGGCCGTGCCCACCTCGGGGTTGGTGATTCCCTGCAGGACCAGCGGCAGCACGCTGCTCAGCGTCTCCGGGTGCCACCGCATCCACTCCGCAAACGACCCTGACCATACAGGAAAATAAGTTTTTTTGGTTTTTTTAAGTTAAAGTTCTACGGCACTTGCAACACAATTAAGTGATATAAGTGCCAAAGACCAGGGGTGTTACAAGAGAGTAACAAACACAAAAAAGAAGGAGAGATAAGAGCAATAGATGTTTGATAGGAAAGAAGGAGCAAACCACACCAGAGCACCTGCCAACCACCCACAAATAAGAAGTTATGCTCAGTTATAATAATAATAATAATAATAATAATGATGATGATAATAATAATAATGCAGATCATTTCTATAACGTCTACTCCCATGTGCTTACAGCTCTAGGTGTACATCCAAGTACACAGAACAACAACTGTTTAAAAAATTAATATTTCCTCATATGAATGAAGAGAGTCAACGTGATTCAATTGATGCCAATATAAAAAAAAAAAAACAGAAAAAAAACACCCCAATTTTCAAGTTCTGGGTGAAAAACACTAACCATAAAAAAACCCAACTTCATGAGCAACAACAAATTCAAAACATGAATAACTGCATCCCGAGTAAAGAAAGGGAGCAAGTAGGGACAAAGAAGAACTCTGCAAGGACCAGATTAAAAGCAAGAAAATAACCACAAGAAGCAATCACTATATTGTGCTCAGTGACAAAGTGTGTATGTCGCTGCATTGACGTTATTCTCACCAATCATATTGAGGGCTGTGGAGATCTGTTGGGAGTTGACAAAAGGAATTTCCCGGATGACGGAGAAAAGCTTCGGTATATGGGTGGCCTCGTCTGTCGGAACGCTCTCAGACACAGAGGAAAAGACAAACAAGACGGCTTCCACATCCTGTAGGAGAAAAAAAGAAAAGACGACTTAATTCTTCCAGCTTGTTCATTGGTTAGTATTGTTTTCTATGAAAAAAAAAAGTAAAAATTTATCTTGGATAGAAGTCAAGATATTTGCTTTTGAACAAGGTGGGGGTCACCAAGTTTCAGAGGTAAAAGGCAAATATATATTAATATCATATACAAGAGACAGTTACATAAAAGCAGTCAAGAGTTGAGCCGAAAACAGATAGAAAAAAAAGCAAAACTTTCAAGCATTGACAGAAAAGTGAGGGTCCAGCTCTTGACATCAGGCATGTCAAATTTAGGGTCCTCCACCTAGGACTTACATCAGTTAGTTTAAAAAAGTTATAGTAGAGGTTTTACGGCGCTTGCAACTGCATAAGGTCATATGAGCGCCAGTAGATTAGAGGTGTTACAAGAGAGTACCAAACACACAAAAAAAGAAGGAGAGATAAGGACGATATATGTTTCATAGGAAAGAAGAAGCAAACCACACCAGAGCACCCGCCAACCACCTATAGTTATGTCAGTACAGACTAAAAAGGGTAAAAGAAATAAAAGTACAAACATAGGAAAAAACCCCAAAAGACCCGATTACCCCACTAAAAAGACACACAAACACACCTAGAGTTATATCAGTACAGACGAAAGAGGGCAAAAGAAATAAAAAGTATGGGTAAAGGAAAAAAAAACAACAACCAAGATCCGATAACCCTGCTAAAAAGACACACACACACACACACACACACACAAACTCAAACCTTCCACACACACACACAAACAACTGACCTGCCAGTCCTGCGAGGTTGCCCGCTTGCTCATCTCAGTCAGCGCCATGAGACAGTTGACCAGCTGAGCCAGGAGCTCGGTACATAGTATGCTGTACGAGTACATCTGTATGACAACGTACCAGTACATCTTATTACAATTGACATTGGTAGCACACACACTTAGGTCTCTTATCAAAACTTCAGGCTCCATGACCGATTGTGACCGTAAACTGATTTTAAAAATATATTTCACCCAAAGGGATGATGCTTTCTGATTTCAGTTACCCCCACCCCCAATTACTTTGTTCACAAATATATATTTTTTTGGTAAGTGTATTATGGCGCTCGCAACTGCATAAGGTCATATGAGTGTGCGGGTCACATTAAGCATCCACTTTGTTCAATTCGGAGACAACTATACAATAAAATAAACGGTGAGTAGCATAAAATATAGTCCAAAGCACTGTCATTGTAAAGTATAGACTCCTTTTTAACGCTTTCAGCAGTCACAGAAAGGTACATGGCCCAATGAAAAAGGACAACAATATTATATTTTAACCATTCTAATTAACCCCTTTAGTGTTGCAGGTAAATAAACCTAGTCTGCTCAGGGGTGAACCCACTCTACATACCATAATTTTTTTATTCACGAATATTTCCTCATGAATTTGTGCATGTACATTCTACATTGAACCACATTTCTATTGATATAATTTTGGGGGGATTTCATTGAGTTACATGGAGAAAAGTTGGAATTAGTAACAAGATGCCAAAACAGCACCACCAAACATAAAGATTACAACACATGGTAATGATAAACTGAGACCAAAAAAGGGGAATACATGTTGTGTAAGTGTTCGCAGGTAAAAAGGAAGTGACAAGAGGCTTTGCCTACATTATACAATGCTCGTACAATTCATATATATTATATATATACACGTAAGCTCATCTGTGTTTACTGCCAGTAAATCATTTTTGTGTGGTAGATGTGTAGATCTACATCTAATCTTCTCTGCGAGCTAAAATCTAAATCTGATGCTTTCTTGTTTTTTGTTTTAATAGAGGTTTTACGGCACTCGCAACTGCATAAGGTCATATGAGCCCCAACGTGTGGATGTCAAAAGAGAAGTCCTTACAGGGAATCAGATTTACCCTGCTCACCTCTCTAGCTTCAACATCACAAAGTCTGCTTCGACTATCAAGGCACCCCAGAAATAGCGGGTCACAAGAGTGTGACAAACATACAAAAGAAATAGAGGAAAAATGACGATAGTAAGGATTAGGAAAGAAAAAGCAGCAATTCTCTGTTACAGTTCAGGCACAGTTATGAGCATGACATCAATGAATCAGCCCATTTACAATTACAATTCTACTGTGCATAAAAACTTGAGATGTTAATGTCCCCCCTCCCCTTTGGGAATGGCCTAAAGACACTTCAGTCAGTAGCACCGCCCCAGGGGGTATCTGACGCTTTCGAATGGAGGGAAAACGGATGTAAACATAAAGGGAAGTTAGTCCAATAATAATTACAAGATTTTAGCAGTAACTTCCCTTATAATGTGTATCAAAACAACCTCTGTCACAGTTCCGTAAATTCTACGGGCGGGGCAGCGAAGAGGTTAAAAGAACAACAAAAAACCCATAAAATCATTTGATGTATATAAACAGAGGTGGCTTTTCTATCAGACAAAAAGCTGCACAAACGCGCAAGATCTTCCATTGCCCCCCCCGCGGGTGAAATGAGCAAAATTTGTGTAAAGTGCCTTTCCCTGTCACAACGTTAGGCCCTTGACAGGGTTTGAACTCATGACATTGCAACTGCGAGCCAAACAACCTAACCACTAGCCTACCAGCGTATCATCTGAGGCTTGAAACATTACACATGTACTGCAGCTATCTCTGGACCAAGTGATATAGCAGTTAGCCACACTCCTAGACAAGATGGTTGAATATGGGACTGAGAAAATTAACCAAAATTTTCGGAAATCTTTACGAACAGCTGAACATACCATTGTGTCCCCAATGTCTTGTCTGTAACAGCGAAACTGCTCTTTCTCTTCTGCAAAAGAAAAATGAAAACTGTTAAACTCTTCAAAGAACAAAAGTATCGGAACTGCTGCTGTTACACAAACAATCAAAACAAGATTATTGGATAATGATCTATCATGAGTCAGTTTAATAATGGCTTTACTCTGCCTTGGACTGAATGACAGTAGATAAGCAGATCACATGAGAGTTACATTGATGATGTTTGCCAGGTCCAAGGAAGCCTAAGAAAGGCTAAAACAGATAGAACTATCAGATACCATTTTATAACTTGAATTTTCTTTCGCAATTTTTCATGCCCTTCTATATATTAAAATTTTCCACCATTCATTAAAATAAACTGGTTTTCAACATAGTAAAAAATCAGGTCTGAGAAAATTCATGAGTTGGCCCATATTATGTGCCCCAACACCATCGATATTATGTAAAATGCAAAAAGTGTCCATTAGGAACCCATTGTAAGTGGGGTGTGTCAAGCACATCAACTAAACGTACCTAACGACCAGGAAGAGTAGTCTGAGTCTGACGGAAACCTGGCTTTGATGAGTAACACCTCGATGAGGGAGAAGAAGATGGGCTTGAACACCTCCATGAGAGGCATGAAGTCCTCCTCTGAGATCATACTCAGCTCGTCCTGAAACGTGCAAGAGGCATAGCGAGTTTTTGGGTGAGTCACAAAAGTACCCACTCAGCCACACTAACCAGTATTTCATTTAGGGGTGAAAACTCAAGTTATGATATCATGAAATATTGTTTTGTTTAGTAAGAGTTTTACTGCCCTCGCTACTCCATAAGATAAAATACTGCCAAAATTGGAGAAGGAAAGGGGCTTCAGAACATACTCATGTCAAAATTCTCTGAAACATATACTGTACAATTTTCATATCTCTCTCTTGCACTCTAAAACTGCAGCTTCAAATCTAATAAAAATGTTTATTTACACAAAACAGCTAGAATATAAAAAAAGGGGGAAGCAATAGTTTAAAGTAAGGGGCGTGTGTCATTTAAGCACATCATACTTTCTGTCTCCCATCTGTCAACTTGTAAAGCCCAAAACAGAACCAGTATCTGCAAACCCCAATCAATTCAGAATAAAGTTGATATGTAAAGTGTGCATTCCTTTTCTGTATCTTTACTGAAAATCTTTTATGGCCATTAAATTAGTTTTTCTCATGGTAAATGTACCCAAACCTCTTACCTGTAACAGGTACCAGAAGGTGAACGTTTGATCACTGCAGCTCTCATCTACAGGGAAATGACCAGGCAATCCTGTGCAAGTCTGCACTCCATTGGCAGCAAGGAGAGGAAACGGGTGGGGAGGGGGAAGAGAGAGAGAGTGAGAGAGAGAGAGAGAGAGGATGAGAAACACGAACCATAACAATATATACATATTGCACTACTACAAATTCAAAACATGAACAACAGTGAGTCAAGAGTAAAGAGTAAGAGGGAGTCAAGACAAAGAAGAACTCTGTAAGGACCAGCAAATTAAGGCAATAGAATAACCGCAAGAAGAAATCATATTGTTCTCAGAGAGAGAGTGTGTATTGTAGCAACATTGACATTAATCACAACCCTTATCAAAATACAGGGATGGAATTGGCCTATCATAGTCTCCCAGTGGCCTGGAAAGAGATACCAGCATTTTCGAAGGACCATAAAAGCAGCACCTACATTGAGTGAGCTGTGTAATATTTTTCTAATTTTGCTTCTCTTAAAACTCAGATTTGTTTTCTTATGAATACCAATTACTTTATCAAACATAGACAAATTAGTTTTAAATATAACAAAACAACAGATACGTAATCGATAGAATTAGTCATCATAGGCGTACCAGGATCATCTGTAGCAGAGACATCGTGTTCTGTTTCACCTCCTCGGGGCCCAGCACCGACTCTACGATCAGCTTCGTGTGGTTCTCTGACAGCGACACTACCACACGGCAGATGCCTTCACACGTTTCCTTCAGAGGAAAACCAACAACATTTAACTTTAACGCATAGAACAATTGCGCTATTAGAAAACCAACAATACTTAACATTAGCACAAAATACAATTTCGCTTTATCAAAAAAAACATACAACATTTAACTTTAACACATAATATAATTTCAATTTTTTAAAAATTATATTATCAAAGGTCAGGCTTTTCCATCAATAACTTTTGGTAAAAAAATCAATTCATTCTTGAAAAATGTTAAGAGCATCACCTCTTATCTCATTAGAGTGAATTGGGTTTTTTTGGTAAGTGTTTTACGTAGCTCGCAACTGCATAAGGTCATATGAGCGCGCGGGACACACTTAACATGTTCCGTTGCTTTTGAGTTTTGCCCGAGTGGTGGCAGAAGCCTACTCTTATCGATTTTGGACCACCAAAGGATCTTTAACGGGCGCAACTTGCTCACGTGACCTCAGAAATATATTCGCCCTTGTCCGATAAGGCTAGGTGTAGATCTTTACTACCAGAAGATCAGGGGTGTGGCTGAAAGACAGCAGTAAAAAGGAGCCAAGGAGAAGCAGTGGAAAGGCGGCAGAAAGAGTCAGGAGCCCAGAGGAAGGGGTGGGGGCAGAAAGTGGAGACGAAAGCAGACGACAGAATATTGCTAGAGAGTAGGAAAGGAGGTGAAAGGAGACAATTTTTTAGAGAAGAAAATGTTTCCGTCGCTACCCGGATTCGAACCTGGGACCTTTGAATGAGAGGCGAACCTCTTAACCTCTAGGCCACGAGAGCCCCCGTAGTAAATTGTTTACTCCTTTTTCATAACAAGAAGAGCAAAGTACCCACCTTATCTTCGTCTGCCAATGCTTTTGAGAACATGTCATGGAGAGAAAGCACATCGGAGAGAATCCTCTGTATGGTCACAGGGTACCTGCAGCAGAGGGAACAGTGACGTCCGGATTACACACCACATAGTTTGTGTTCTACCTTTTGGTTTGGTTTGGTTCAACACCTCTTTCTAACACAGGTACTGTTACCAAAGAGGCGGTACCTGCTATATTACATTACTGCATGCATGAAATAGTTATGTGTGCGTAGTAGACAACTAGGAAAACCCCTCTGAAAAAAAAATCCAGCAGGATTTTGTATGGAACATACCTATGTAGTTGTAGTTGTTTTCAATCCAGAGAAACAAACTTAAGACCTTTAAATTAAAAGGCCAGTAAGTCAAATGTTGTACAATGAGTTCTTTAAGAAAAAAACAAAAACTGTTCACATTCACATGACAAATTTTTAGATTGTGACCTAACAAAAGAATGTATATCATATGTAGATGTTTCAAACCATGTGAACGTATAGAGAAAACATTTTTTTTTAAAAATCAATCCTCATAACCTGCACGGTAAAGCAAAAACGATGACATTTGGTACATGACTCAAACAGAAATACAACGTTACTGTATAACAAAGGAAACAAAAACTCACTTATATGACTCTGGATGTGCAAACACACTGGACAGTGTGTCAGCAGCAATGTCAAACAGTTGGGGATTTCTAAGGGAAGTGAACACCTGTAAGAAAAATACCACTCTTATTTATCTTAGTTTTAGGAAGTGTTTTACAGCACTTGCAACACAATAAGGTCATATAAGTGCCGAAGATTAGAGGTGTTACAAGAGAGTAACAGACACAAAAAAGAAGGAGGGGAGATAAAGACGATAGACGTTTGATAGGAAAGAAGAAGCAAACCGCACCAGAGCCCTCGCCAACCACCCACATTTTATTTATCTGAGTGTCAGTGTTAGATATGGATCAACATAGAATTGTCTCAAGGACTACTTGCCTTGGGGCTCTCATTGGCTACTGTTTTCTAAATTAGCATTAAGCATAAACGGAACTTATCGAAGACCAGGCACTTTATTCATCCAACCTGCCCCTGAGTATGAGTCTGAAATACCAGACCCCTACCCCCCACTGATCAGATCAGCCATCAAAACCTAAAAGAATCTGAAATCAAACTAGGTACTTTGGAAACAAGAGGCAAAAATGTGTCTCTACAAAATTAGCCCCATTAATGTGGGCTGATCCAAATAAGAATAACTTTGCAAACTCCTGAAAAGGTGTAAATCCCCAGACACTGTAGCATAGAAATAAGTCAATTACCCCCCCCCCCCCCCCCAAGTGTCCAATATACTTGGTGTATGATTGGTACAGCTTGGTCCACTGACAGACTGAAGTCCATCCATTTCCCCCACTCACTCACACACAGTGTCCGTATGATTACCTCATATCGGTCCGCAGTTAGACCAAAATCCACCCAACACCCCCTCCCACACACACACACACAGTGTTCTGTATCTGAGGTACGATTACCTCATCTTGGTCCGTAGCTAGACCAAAATCCTCCCAGCGCCCCCCCCCCTCCCTCCACACACACAGTGTATGATTGGCTCGTCACTGTCCATAGCTAGATCACAATCCATCCAACAATCCCCCCCCCCCCCCCCCACACACACACAAACACATACACACAGTGTCCTTTACCTGGTGTATGATTGGCTCGGCTCGGTCCATCGCCAGACCAAAGTCCACCCAACGTGAGAAAGCTTTCAGCGCCATCTGGTATACCTCCAGGGGTGACTCTGGGGTTAACAAGGACTGCAGCAAAGGGATCACTGCACCACCGTCAGGAACAAAATAGCAAAATGTCAGGGGTTCATTTTTTAAACTTAAAATCTACCAAAAATGATTCCATGTGTATTCACTGAGAAATATAGACAGCACTAACAGATAGAGTAAGGGGGACCAAAAAATGACTGAAGGATAGACAGGAAAGGAAAACAATTGAAAAGTGAAGAGAAACGGGATTAAATTTGTTTGTTTTTTTAACCTGAGGCCAGCCAGAGTGGGTCTATGTGAGTAAAGAAGAAAGATAAGTTGATGGGTTTGTAGAAATTCTGACTCGGTTACTTACAATGGGACAATGCCGCGGTAGGACCAGCTTTTGTAATGTCCCAACTTATTATTGTTCTTATTGCTTTTCCCCTGTTCTAAATGAATGGCAATTATCATGTCCATGAGCTTCTCTTTACCTAATGATAAAAATGCCATCAAAATGGATTCTATATTCCCTTCCCCCCAAAAAAGAAAAAAAAAACCCAACCCGATAACCCTGTAAGAAAACTGAAAACAAAACCTAAAACTACTGTCCATTACTGAAATTTTTTTTTTTTAAAACAACAGCAACAAAAAAAACTGTGCTCCTAAAAAAACTCAACCTGTTCGCACAGAAAAATTCCTTTTCCATTTTAGAAAGGACGAACTGAATACTTCTAAGAATTTTCTTCAGTAGTTGCTGGTTCACACTTTGACATAAAAGCTCAACCCACAGCGAGTGTGCACTAGACAGACTTTTTACGTCCTACAAATGTATCTCTGACCTGACTGTGGGAAATCAAGTGTATTTCTAACATTATGTTACTCATTCTTTTCCTCCCATTCTTTATAGTCATAAACTTTTTCGCATGTCCTGTCTATTTCAATCATGTTTTACGGTTTGAATTATGACAATAAAGGGGAATGAATAAAGAAAGAAATAATCCCAGGCCAAGAACAGTGGGTAAGCAAAGATAGAAGAAAGGAACATTTAAAAAATTGGCAGTGCAGCTACGGGAAAAACAATTAGCTACACCAGAAGTAAACATCCACATTAAAATATACACATATGCACATCTCTATCTAGACAATGATATCACAAAGCAGCTATAAACCATCTATTGAGACTGCAAAAATTCCTTGTATCAATAACATGGTATAAATTAAAAAGATAGCTGCCATAGTACAACCGGCCTATATCAGTAAGCTGCAGCTGCAAAAAACCTAAAGCAAATATGCCTTGTTACATATATATCTTCTAGACCTAGAAAACCCCTTTGAGCAAGAGAACAAATGTCATTTCAATAACATTTTCTTCAGTCCAATAATAGTAATTAATCAAGAGACATTAGTGGAACAAAAAAATCCTCACAAAATAAAATAATATTGGTCACAGCACATGATTTTTCAGGTCTGATACAACACACAGATGTTTCCATTTGTGTTCATCAACCCCAACCAAATATATAAGACTTGATTCACAATATGGGCAATCCATGACGCATGAAATTCATGTCTGTGTAGCAACCACCGGTTAATTTTAAATGCTCAAAAAAAAAACAAAAAAAAAAAAGAATAAAAAAAGAACCAAACCCCCCCCCCCTCCCACCAACAGTTACACATATAGAAGCAATACGCAAACAGTCATATCCCCCTCCCCCCCCCCAACCACACACTGTGCTGCAAAACAATTGTTTGTTTAAGCCGCCTTGGCATGCAAAACTCACAACAATACAACAAACATTATCCAGATTCAAAAATCACATTTACGAATAATGCAAAGTGTACTTTGAAAAGATAATATGATGAGCAAGCCATTGTATGATTCCAGCATTCTAAAATGTGTTTATAGCACTCTCTATCAAGCATCCATGTTACTTTTAACTGCAAAATAAGCATCCAGGCGTCTTCCAGATACACATTGACATACATAGAACATGTTAAGGAAGACAGAAACCCATAGGCTACGCTTGCACACACATTCGATTGCATGCATACAGACACACGTACAGAGAAAAGGGTTCTGAAACTTCACAGAGAGGAAGGAAGAACAGTGTATTGTTGACAGGAGTAACAGAAAGCCACAACAAAAGACACAAAGTGCTAGAGATACAGAGGAGCATTGGGACATGATAAACGTCTTGTAGGAACTGGGGAAAAAGAAAGATGATAGACAGAAAACCCCCCAACAGATTACCAAAAGAAAAAAAAAAGGGGGAAAGTCTTAAGCCCAGAGAAGGAGAGAAAGACGACCTACACAGGACACTCTTAATACAGTGCTTCTTCACCTTTTTTCAATACCATTCATCCTAACACTGTTTCCCCCAGACTTGGTAAGTGTTTTACGGCGCTCGCAACTGTATAAGGTCATATGAGCGCGTGGGACACATTAAACTTTTTCAGTTGGAAGGAAATTTTGAATTTTGCTCGGGTGGCGGCTGAAGCCTACTCTTATCGATTTTAGACCACCAAGGGATCTTTAATGTGCACAACTTGCACACAGGCCCTCCAAGATTTTTCGCCCTCGTCCCAGAAGGCTAGGTGTAGATCTTTCTCACCAGAAGATCATCCCACAGACTTGATTGTTCTGCTGAAGATGCAGTTTTTCCTATGTATTCTCACGAGTGTCATTCACATTCACAATCAAGGAAACTTCATTTTCTCAGGGGCAAGGCAAACCGTTTATTGAGTCAAGAAGCACTGCTTGAACCAACAGCAAGGGATCGCCATGAGAGGAGAATGACAGAAAGAAGGAGTATATTAAAGAAACAGGTCTACCTCTTTGAAGGTATTATTTTCTCTCCAATTTGAGGTATATACAGTCACACAAAATATTTCACAAGTTTACCATGGTCAAGACCCTTGTTCAGCTCTTGCCTTAGCACTAGCCTCCTTTGCTGAGAAAGATTGGTACTGTAGAACTATGAAAAAAAAAAGTGGGAGAAAGAAAAAAAGGGCAGAGGAAAAATACAGTTTGACAGGGCTAAGGGGTAAAAATAAAATTACATGGTGTGACTAATAATAAAGATTACAATATGAGCCACTCTACCACATCTAAACTAGAAAGGTTAACTGTGAAATGCAATGCACATGGCACAAGCTTGGAATGAATTAGTTTGCTTGGTGAGTACATTTGGTAGGCAGACAATCCTCATGGCCCTGGCTATTTCTCCTTAACCACATCACCGATGACAATGTAAAAAGTAAAAAAACAAAACCAGAATCAGGCAAGCCAGAGAGCCTGATGTAAACATCTTGGCCAAACTGAAGAAGAGCTGACAAACCGGTATGAGCACATTTCACCATCACAACAATTTGCCGAGACAATTTATTCTGCTAGAGAGGAGATGGGACCACAACATCCAAGAAAGGACAGGCCTAAAGCTGAACGACACACTGAATGAGCCAGAGAACAGAGAAAGTTAGAGGGTGCTGGTTATCAAGTCCTATTTGCTGCCCCCACGGTCGAGGAGTATCAGATAAGTACCAATGTAAACGCACCATACTGCGACAATAATCAGTTCTAAAACTCTATCAACCCCCCCACCCCCCAAAAAAACATTCCAAGGCCTTCACTGTTTGATCCCTTCTGCCATCGAGCGACACAAAACAAAAAAGCACAAAACATCTGGAAATTTGCAGCAGTCATGACCTGCAGATGCCAACAAACCACATGAACCAGCACTAAAAAATGATATGAACACATTGCAATTCTCATCACGCCAAGGCGAGGACTGTGACAGCTATACATGTTCCAACAAGACTTTCAAGGAGAAAGTTGAATCATAAACTTCTCACAAATGTATACTTTTCCAAATAGTACCCAAAAAACACACACGAGACCGTCTGGAGAAACCTGGTGGCGTCCCTTCCTCAACTAGAAAACTCAGTCAACAACAGGACCAGAGAATAATAGTCCCACAGCTTGTTTTGAAAAATACTTTCAACATGAAAAAATCTGCACCGAAATTGACCATGAGAAGGAAATGAAAAAGTCAGCGAGACTAAAATAACAATAGACAACAAAGCCTAAAAGGAATTTCCATACAAGATTTCCAAGGACTCAAGAATCCATTAAGAAATATAACGTACCATCTGAAAGGTAGAAGCAGTATCATACAGAAAAATGAAAAACAAATAAAGCAAAGGATAAAAACAAACATACTTCAGTTACAGAGATTACACTTTTGGAGCAACGATCTAAACGATAATATCTGTATGGCAGCTACAGAATCAATGGACAGAACGCAGGTGAAACGCAGTCCTCTGGCACTACCCGAGAAAGATCCTTCAAATATACAAACATGATCACATCCTAGATGAATATGAGATCCCATCAAACTAATTTTTAGAACATGTCGAAAAGTAATCAGAAAGACGACACAAACAGTTGGTCAAGAATTTGAAACAAGCAAAACCTGATTCCTCTAAAAAGTCTGATGTGGAAACTTACTGAAAAAAACACAATAAAGGCCATAAGAAAAACTAACAATCCTGTCTTGAGAACCCCAACATTAAAATTGCCTCAATTCCAAGAATCTTTACAAACAAACAAATAGCGAAAAAAAAAGTAGAAGAAAGAAAATTTAACGATCAAACACTTCAAGAAACATCGATCACATATCAAGACCTCTCCACTATGCACAAATAAATTATAAAAACTCAGGATACTTCTATCAACATAGAGGAAAAAAGACACTTTGAACTGAAGCATAATGCCCAGAGCAACAGCTCAAACTCAAATTGGATCCATATCAATACAGGAATTTGTGACGAACCATACTTACATTAATTATCATACCAACATATTAAAACTACCACTGGCCTAAAATCCAGACTTCAAAGAACAAAGTTAACTAAAAAAGATACACTCAGAAAGGAAACAAGGGAAAGATTTCTCCCTCTACAAACAGTCCGAAAGATTTAGACAAAAGAAATAAGTTGTGGCTTGTGTACATCTGAGGTATAACATACAGATTGCGATGAAGCATGCATTAAACACTTACACCTTACTACACACACTTTGTTCTAGTATCTACCAGTATATATGTCTAAGCCCCAGTACAAACGATGACCACAAGTGAGTAGAAGAATAGAAGAAATCACTGTGACTTCACAGAGGGATGTGGGTTAAAACATGACAATTAATGACGGACTTTCAAGAGGGGGCTGTCATTATGAACTTTATAAAATAAAATTCTATGATCTGCATTGACAAATTAATGCTTTCCAAATTTTCAAACTATGCCATAATAAAAAGAAGCGGTTACTAGATCTACAATCTTCAGGTAAGAAATGCTCTCTTCTTGAAAGGGCCCAAATTCCTAAAGTGTTCATAAACAACAACAAAAAAAAAGTGAAGAAAAAAACAAACATCCCATGACCACAAAAACACTAATACCTAACATTGGAAATAACTAAATGAAACAAAAATAAGACATGAACCCGCAATGAATTTTCAGCTACAATAAGAAAAGCTTTGTGCTAAAAGACAAGTTATACGTAGATTATTACTTCTATAAACCTGTGAAGAAACACTGGCCAACAGATCAGGTAATACACTTCAGTTCTACTCACAATGCTTCACAGAGAACTGTTGGGCGGGAAAGTGCAATAACATCACTCTTACAACCAACCACTTTAAAAATCATAATATGTGCCTACTTGCTATGGAACAGAATGACTGTGTGCCTTGCTAGACAGAAATCAGTAAATATCTCATGTCTATGTGAGTCAGAAAAACGAGTGCATTAAACCATGAGCCAACAGTAGAAGACTTACTTCTTCGGGCAGGACGGTCAGGACTTCCAGTAATATCTGGCACCTTGTAACGGTCTGAAAATTATAAATAATAAGGAACATTTTCGTGAAGAAATTTGTTTGGTTTATATAATAAAACAAATTCACAGAAAGCCAGACTAAAGCTAGAAATAGCCGAGGGAAGTGAAAAGAATATCACAGGCACAAGAATACTGAGAAGACCTCATATCATTTTATTTTCAGGTCACTATCTCGGTGCCATTACCAGAATGTTACGATAGTACAAGTCAGAAACTCACCATGTCATGAAGAAAAGCATAATCAAGAGATGTCGCTACTTTTCCTCATTGATGTAAGCTGTTTAAGAGCTATGTATAATCCATTTGACATTTAAAAATACATTCAAAGAAACACCACATAAACAGTAGACATACAATGATATTTTCCCCAAAATTTTCCACGGATCTCAAAACCTCATGTAACTGTTCTCAAAACTGCAAACATCACAAGAACTCCAGCATGAGGGTAAAGAGCTCAAAACTGGCCACCCGGGTATTGGTGTCAGGTACCCGGGGTTTTTTACTCCCCTTCGTTATGCTATGCAAATGCACTTAATTCACGTCCCTTCATTTGAACCTCATTAAGTACTAAGTACTTATCCATACTGAGCTCTGTAAGTCGATACAGTACTCGATATTGGCCAATATTAACTAGTGCCCACCAATACTCGTACCTCCTTTCCCTGGAAACCAGCAGACCACAAAAAGGCCACATTAGGGCACGTTATAAGGAAGTTTCCAAGAATCAATCGGATACTTTGGTAGAGCTAGCTAGGCTTATAATTTTAATTTCAGTGTCTTTATATATATATATGGAAGCACATGTGTGCAGTTCTAGGAATCCAACGGAGAAGCGGAAAATTTCTAAAAATTATGTGAAGTAAAATAGTTTAAATAGCTTTGGCTTTGTCATTTTAGCACAGTTTCTATCAAGATGTCTCAAAGAAAGTCATACGCTTGGGATTACTGTGAGAAAATAAAAGACGAAAAAAGGGCCTCCTGCAACATCTGCAAAAGCATAATAAAAGTTGACGGGTCTACAACTTCAAGCCTCTTGAAGTATTTGAAGGGAAAACATGCAAATGAAATCGCAAGTAAGCAGACAGTACAGAAACACCATATGATAATTGGAATGTCGGGTACCCGACGGGTACTTTCAAATTACCTGTAAAATCCCAGCCCTATCCAGCATAAACAGTGAAACATCACCGATACATCAAAAGCGTAGATATATCAATTGTGACTCAAATCTCCACCCCCACTGCCCTTATACCCACCCAAATTTAAAAAATAATTTAAAAATTGGATACATTAATAATAATCATTAATAAGACTGTTAATATGACCAAATTGTTTTCTGTGACCAGACACTTACTGGAAGAGAGGCAAATCCTTCTTGTTGGAATGTTGATATCAGATGCTGAATGGCATCAGGCCACTTTTGGGGTAACAGCTGTAGTATCAAGGCAGATAACTGAAACACACAAAGAAATGGTGTAAATACCCCTTTTTATTGGACAATGCAATCCAAAAATCATACATATTGATCCAGACAGCATCATCCATAACAAACATTTTGCCATTTTGATTTTGTGGATAAAAGAAATATAAATCATTACCCTTAAGTTCAGATACATTTGACACAAACTCAAAGAATACCTACTGGTCATGCATACATTTCCATGACTAATACATCCTATAATCTTTCTCGAAAACCCACAAGGAAGCACATGACAAAAACTTTACGTTTTAACTTTCATTTTATCTCACAACCCAGGACTATCATCTGAAAAAATGAAGGTACGGGTATACCTGACCGATGAGGTTTAACATATTTCAGTGATCTACACCAAAACCATTCTAGTTAAAAAACAAACACTAGTTACACATACACTGACAGCTTACCCCTACACACAGTCTTGTGAGAATGACTTTGGGGCCAGTTGCAAAGTGAACTATAGTCTCAAGCAACTTGGATTTCAGTGATTCAAACTGTTCTGGAGGTATTTCATGCCTGCAAAAAACAATTGATGCTGTTGTTAGTATAATGCTCACATGAGAGTGTGTACACTGAATATGGGAAACTTTTATTGAGAATAAATATTGAGTTAAAAGGCACAAAATTTTAATAAACACGATGTGCGAACATACAACAGACTAAAAGGATTAGAATTTATAACACACACCCCCCAACACTTTTTTCACATAAATTATCTTTAACCACTTAAAATATATGCCAATTATACTTACCAGAATCTGACGATTTTTACATGCAGGCAACTGGCTCCATAATACTGAACTTCTATTCCCTGAAATTAAAAACAACAAACAACATCATGCTACTACAGGAAACAAAAAAGCCAAGATGTAAAAAAGCAGAAACTGAAAAAAAACACCCAAAAAAACACCAAAAAGATTTATTTTTTTTAATCGATGCAGGAGTGATAAACCATTTGAGGCCAACAGATCTACACTGAATCAAGGCTTTTTAAAATCTCATAAAGTGAAAAAGTTAAACAACAGAAACATCTTGATCTAGATTTACTTTAAATCGTGTAGGGAAATCTCAGCATGGACAATGCTATTGACAGCAAGAACACTGGAATTATCTCACAAAATAGAAAATATGTAGAACTAGCTCAGTCAAGACAAGACAGTCAAAATCCCAATTTCGAACTCAAGTGCCTGCCTTTCAGAACCAAAAACAGGACTGTGAGACATAAGCAAAAATAATAGATAGCATTAGTCTAGCACAAATTTCTGCTCAATAATACAGCAAACTATTTGTGCTTTACAATCTATTAGAACAATCCACTAGTACTCATAGGTCACCTTGTCCGGTCCCATCAAGTCCCAGCAGAAAGACCAGGCAGCTGGAGAGATCTGAGCCCCCGTCAGCCAGATGTGTACTTCACTCTGAAGACTGGGGTTCAGATAAAACTGCTTTACAGCCTGCAAAACAGTGAACATTCAAAAAGCTTTACAAAAGTTGATAACATTGACCTTTAACAAGATTGCGTCTGTCTTTAACCAAAGAGCAACCCCCCCCCCCCCCCTTAGTATCATTCCCAAACACCAAACCCTGGAATCTTAATGTTATGGTAATAGTAGGCCACTTTTACTGGAATATATTTAATCTGCAGACAGCAAATTTCAATTTAGGTAAAAAATTAATTTCAAACAAAAGAATAGTACCCCGATCCCCTTCAATTCCATTCCCAAAACACTCCCCCTCCCCCCCCAAAAAAGGAACAATTTAGTGTTTACTTACCAAGTGTTTTTAATCACAAAGATATAACATAATCTTATTACATGTTATTACAAAGTGCTTTTAACCATATATGTATATAAAAGAAAGCAAATCTAAATCACAAAAATGAAAATTATGTAAGGTACCTGTTCCACATTATGGGCTGTATACTCTGTTGCCATTTTTTGTGTGCTGCGTGGAAGAGACTGGCCTTCCAATATTTACAAAAACAACAAGGTCAAACCTGTTGAGAAAACCAAACCGCATTATTCGAATATTCAGTTCAACACCTGGATGTGTTTTCCCTAGTCACAAATTATATCAGATTAGTATCAGTGCAAGGTATTGTGGAAAAAACCCAGTAACGACGTAAAGATATTTTAAATTTATAAAAGATGTCTACTTTTAGTTTTTAGCTTTAAAGTAGAGTTTTTATGGCACCTGCAACTGCATAAGGTCATATGAGCGCCAAGGGGTGGATGTCAACAGAGAAGTCCATACAGGGAATAAGGCTTACTTAACTCTGTTCACCTCTCTAGCTTCAACAGCACAAAGTCTGCTTTGACTATCAAGGCACCCTGGAAATAGCGGATCAAAGAGAGTGACAAACATACAAGAGTAGCAGAGGAAAATGACGATAGTAAGGGCTAGGAAAGAAAAAGCAGTAGTTCCCGGTATGCAGTTCAGGCACAGTTATGAGCATGACATTGCTGAATCAGCCCATTTACAATTCTATGGAGCATAAGGACATGTTATTGTCCCCCCTTTGGGAATGGCCTAAAGACACTTCAGTCAGTAGCACTGCCCCCGGGGGTAAATGTCTACTTAAAACAGCATCATGCTCATATTGACATAAGAAAAATACAACCCACCAAGGCATGCCTTATAATTATTAAAGACACATGCATGCTGATTGAGGATAAATCTACCTATATTCTACAAATAAATATAATAGGGTTGGTGCTATTAGAAACGCCGAGTTCTGAATAGCTCCCGCGCTAATCAAAACGCCGAGTTCTGAATAGCTCCCGCGCTAATCAAAACGCCGCGCTCTGATTAGCCCTGTGCTAATCAAAACGCTGCGTTCTGATTAGCCCCGTGCGATTTGAAATGCCAGTAGGCCATCGTTTCTAAATAACCTTTTTTCATCGCTCCACTGCTTGAATTGTGGAAGTTTTCTCAGTTTCTGGAATAAAACTCCTTGGATTTGACTCCATCTTTTTTATGACATTGTCTTATTCCGATCAATATTGGGTAGATCTAGACCTGTCATGGCAACGCGAAATGGACTTGTCGACCTCATTACACAGAACATTTAAGTGGTGAATTGCTCTGATTTTTTGCATGCACTTCTGAAATCCAAAAGACCAAAAAATGTTTAATTTTCGTGGTTATGCGACAAATATAAAAAGGTTTTTTCTAATATACTCATTAGAATTTAATTACTATCTGGGCGCGGTTCTTCGACCAGATTTAGAACAAGAAGGGTAGTTGAGTGTTAGACTGTTTGTTCGTCAATTTTCTTTTTTAAACGGACTGCATATGCCACAAGACTGAGCAATTGTCAGTCCAGCGTTTAGTGGGCGAAGGTGTGTTTATTTAAATCGACTAATTGTGATATACAGTGTGTAAAATTTCGTTCATATCTTCCCAGTCTTTGAGACCGCATGTGTTTCAATTTGCTGTCGGTTTTTACAATTAATTAATCACTATGGTTAAATTAATTAATTTACAAACTCTAAAAACGTTGCCCACCACAGAACTATTTCTCCAAAGAAGTTGATCGAAGCCGTCTCAAAATCCCTTTAAAAAAGTCATCCCAACAAGGGAATTCATCTCCAATTTTCAAAAGGTTCAGCAATCGTCTGATTATGAAAACGTCACATCAACTTGCGACGTGTAGTTCAATAGGTTGAGTTTGCTGGCTGACCGGAAACCATGCGTGATCTGGGCTTCCGCATTTTAATTAGCACGGGGCTATTCAACATGCAACATCTTATTTAGCATGGGGCTAATTGCAATGCGGCGCTTAATTTAGCATGGCTAATCGCAACACAGTGTTTTATTTTTCGCAATGCAGTGCTTTATTTAGCATGGGGTTAATTGCAAAGCGGCGTTTCAAATAGGCACTTCCATATAATAGGCCTATATATTACCTCTTATAGTCATACCATATACACAGCATACAACAGGCTTTGTGAACTTTGTTCAGGCTCAGACCTGTCTACATTCATTCTCTAAATAAAGACGTACTGTGATACAGTTTTGGAATCAGGTCCTGATCCATGCCAATGGAAGAAGGACTAGAGCTCAACCTGGGTTTGATTTATTAGTCTCTTTAGATTAAAATCAACTGTTTACTTCACTTGTCATTAGTTTAGCCTGGGCCAGGGCTTGGCTTAGTCAGTACCAATCAATCAAGTGTAGGCCTACCAGTACAAAATACTACTTTCAAAATTTTTATGAGTAAAGGTCAGAATCACTTTCAATTTCAGTATTATCATAAGGATCTAGGCCTAATTTGAAAAAGTCATTGATGTATTGACCTCCAACCTCTCCTGGTCTCTGGCCCCTTTGCTAAATTCTAGTAGACTTCAATATTATATTCATTTTCTTTGGGGCGATCTTGGAGCGCTTTTCTCATAGGTCTGAATCTACTAGATATCTAGATCTAGATCTAGATTCTAGAACCTATTTAAACCAGACCTGACCAAATGTAAGCACTAGAATAAAAATCTTTGGACAAATGAGTAAATTTGATCTATGAACACAGTATGACAGTGATTGTGATAGGTCAAGACTCACTCTCAAGAGTAAGAGTGCTTGAAACTCAACCATCATTGTTGATCATTTCAGTAGAAAACCTGCATCAAATGAACACAAGAGACAATCTTCTGGAGACAAAGCCACAAGATTTTTACATCTAGATCTATGTGTTTTTGATTGATAATCGGTGCCAGCAATAGCACTTGATAAAACCAGGGGACAAGAAAACCCACCATCTCCAAAGACGAAAATAATAATAGGCATGGTCATGGCCATGGAATATGGAGTTCTCGTTCCTTACTTGAGGCTTGAGGAGAACCCGAGGGCCAAGAAAAATCGGACCATCGCGTATAGATCTAGCAAGTTAAATGTTGCAAATTCATAACGTAGTAGCTACATTCGTGACAGCCTTAACGAATTCTTCTAAATCTCACCTTCAGATGATTACAGATGAACAGAACATAATAAATCTCACACTTCACACCCAGTTTGTTCGGAGGGTGGTCACCTCGTACGCCATGTCGCTGTCTTTCACATCAACATTCCTGAAGTGTACAGATTCAGCACTACTCATATAACCAATTTGCGAATTACTCCCGAACCAATTCGGAATTTCAGCAGGGGAGAGCACCAACGATCTCGTTACAGTGGGTAATGTAAACAATGCGTTGCTATTTTTAGAAGACTTGTACAATGATTTCACGTAATCCAGAGTCCCGAGGAGACGCCAGGCGTGAGCTGCACGAACTTTTGTTTCTATCAAACTAAATCCCGAGACATTACAAGGTGCGAGAAATCAATCCATGCGACACGTCTGGCTTTTCACTTCTTTCCTAGGACGAAATATCGATCTTGTTAACTGCGTCGGCGGTGCAATTAGAGATGTAGGCCCTCAGGCGATAAGTGTTATTCATTCATGGCTAAATTGTCGTGTGGCAAGCTTTATAAATCAAACGAAAAATAATTTTAAAAAATCTAGTGAAACGAAAATGATGATAATGAGCAAAGGCAACAATATGGTGATTAAGATAAAGAGACGGGG